TAAAATATCTTTCAGCCAGTACATATTTTGAAATATTTATGAAATGATGAAGACTGAAACGAAGACAGTCATAAATATTGTGGATAACGACAATGACAAACATTAACACATCACAATATCTCATATTTTTAGCAAAGTAGAAATGTGTCTTAAGACACGGATGCCCTGCTATATATGAAAAGACGCCGAAAAACATACGATGGCTGTCGATATTAATAAGGCCTTAATGTTAGGTTGACAAACATATTTCTCAATTTAGTTTGTACTGGAGCATAAAACAAGAAAACTAAAAGTGCAATAGGTTTTTACAAGACATGCATGACAGGCAATATTTTCTTACTGCTGACATTTGACCTCTTAGTGTGACCTTGGCCTTGGAACTAAGGGTCTATGCTTTGCACATTACACACTGTCTCCTCATGCTACACATTTGTGCCAAGTCATTTCAAATTCCCTTGATGTATAACAGAGTTAAGGACCGGACAAGGTTTTCGAACAGACGCACTCACACACGGACAGGGAAAACACTATAATGTCTTCTGCGAATGTCATGACGGGGGCATAAAAAGGGGCGTTAGCATGTCAAAGTACAAATGTGAGTGATGAGTCTCGACTTGTGGATAAAAATTTCCTAAAATTGTGTCACTTCTAATCAATTCAATCACAGATCTGTAATAAAAGTCTGATTCAATATTGTTTGAGTAATGCATTGGTACAATAATCAAATATAAAAAATTACAAAGCCAAGGGGCTGTAACAAGTTATGATTCTTAGCATTGCACATTCATGACGTCATTTCTAAAACTGATTATGCCCTAGGAAAAAAAATATATATGAATAAATTCATAGGGCAATAATTAAAACAGAGTTATGGTTTTTGGGCAATGTTGTTCTCAACAACAAGATGTATATCCAACTATGCCCACCTTTAAAGTTTTAAGTTGATACCTTTATTGTGTCTTGGGTCCGAAGTAATAAAGAAATTCTCTATGCTCAAACTCGAGATTTGTCAGAAACTACAGCAGAATGTACTTTGACCAATGAAAATCCTGTGATTTGAGACAAGACTCTGAATTTTTTGTAACCTTAATTCCAAGACAAACAAAACTGGAAAAACGAACAGACCAATAAACTGCTTCCGGTAAACTCCCCTTACAAGACAAGTACATGGGTGGGGTGCGGCGTGGGTATAAAAAAATCTAAAATATTTAACATTTCATTAACTGAAAAAAGAACAAACACAGTGATCTGGGGAATATGTTTTATTGCACATCTCTGTTTAACAATCCTTGAAAAATGTTGAAATACATAATATAATACAATAATAATCTTCTCTTCTCATACTGTTATATAAACTTGTAGAATTATGCTCATATAAAGATGAACTGGGGGGAAATAATGTATTTCTAAATATAGACTCTCCTCTCCCATGATGCATTTCAACAGGAAGTTTAGGCAAATATTCCAAGAAATTTGTGTGAGGGATGCGTTTCCTCTAAACAATTTTCTAAAAGGATAATAAAAATCATTATCATATAACTCATAATGTAATCTTGAAAGATGGAATTATTCACAAACTTATATACATGTCAAAAATAGCCAAATACGTTGGTATTATGAGGTCTAATGCCCGTATATAAATGTCGTCATTTCAGAGTGTCGTCTGACTCCATTTTACAAAATAAATAGAATTTGAAACATTTTTCTGCCTATATAAATGAACATCAATCTACATGTATACAAATGGTACTGACTTGTTACTTTTTTAAATTTCTAAATGAAATTCAGGCACACCTACAAAAAACAAAGACTATAAACTTTTGATTTTGTTGTCCATCATAATTATATAAATGATTCTCACAAAAAATATTTTGATGTTGTTTCTCTAAATATCCCTCTTACAATACAAACAAGTGTGTAACCATCAATATTCACATTTTAAAAAAGAATCAAGTTAAAAATATTTTAAAGGAGTTTTCACTACATATCAAACATGCTTTTTAAATCCAAATAATATTTTCAAAAATCATTCACGACGAAAATTTTCTCAAAAACCGCTTTTCATTTGTCACCAAAACATTATTAATACTTTCCAAAAAGGGAAGTAATTAATGCAAAATTTCTATATCTGTCAAATTTTTTTATTATCTCCCTTTATTATTGTCAAAATTGAGAAGAAAGGCAATGTTTCACAATTTTTTAAGTTTTCTTAATCACAATAGAAAAAAACTTTAGAGAATAAACTATAGAGAAATACAAAACAAGTATTTACATTATCTGTTTAAAAAACGTGTACCACAACAATTCGTGGGTACCAGTTAAAATACTGGTACTACTCTTTATTAGCTATCATCACCAATCATATAAAATAACATGCATTTTACTGACTGCAAAAATCTAAAGTAAAACCTTGAGCATTTTGCAAAAACTTCTTTCTGTACAAATCTAACTTCAGAACAAAAACACAACATTCATATCCAAGAAAACAACAAACTGTAAAGGTAGATTTTCAATTTTTGAAAAGCAGTACACTTTTTTTTAATTTCTTAATTATTACAATATTGTTTTTTTTTTCCTGATGTATGTACATTTCAATAAATACAAATCTATAAAAGATAAAATCTAAGGAAAAGTTAAAGCAAAAAGAAAGATATGAACCATTCTGTTAAATCACCTTAAAACTTTACATAATTTTCACAACCAAAATCTATGTATACGTCTCAATATATAAAGAAGAAACATTTCAACTTTTAAAGTTGACAAAAACAATGCAATAAAATCTAATTTTTTTCCTTAACAATCCATGAAAATGGGATATAAATAGAATATTATAAACCACATTTTTTGTATCAAAATTGAAAAGCTACCTTTAAGTTGAATTTCTTGCACAACCTTTAAGAATCACATCATGATGAAGTTAGTATATTGAAAAATCACCTAAAAACCATCAATAAATTTAAAAATCCAAAATTTGTACGGTGCAACATCTACAGAGTGACCCTCTATAAACCAACAACTTCTTTACAACAATAGTATAATAATTGCTTTCCCAAAGTAAGAATTTGCTTTAAATTTAACCTCTCTAAAGCAAATTCCCCAAGCAACAACCAAAATATTTGTCTTTAAAAGGGTGTTGCTTTGTACAGGTTGAACTGTATCCCAATTTTAGATCTCGAAATAAATGACAGTATTAGATAACAGTAATTCATTAACTATTATGAGGGACAATTTTCATTGTTGATTTCATTTTAATATAAATCTAAGATAAAAAATTGCCACTAAAAAAAGGAAGAAATTTCCAATATTATAAAAATTCTTTACAAATATTCATGTCTCATTTCCTTCCTCATTGTCATGAAGTCTTATGCCAGGAAAATGTATGGACTTTCTGTAGTTGAAGTTTAACTATAACTTATCAACTAATTAAATCAAATTAATCAATTTAATTAATTAATCAATAAATTAATTGATTATAATCAATATGATGTCATTCACATGCAACTATTAAGATATAAAACAACTATCTGATATAGTACAATTAACATTTTGGCAAATAACATGTATATATTAATTCTAAATCTTGCATTTTAATGCATACTTAAAATATAAAAGGATGTTTATTTAAAGCTTACACCAATTTTCTTCATCAATCTAGGGTAAACTACTTCAGCAAATCTTTCAAATACAGTAAAAATATCATACCTAAAGCATTAGCTGTACCAGTTAAAGGGACATACCCAGCTGTTTTTTGTTCACTGATAAAAAAATAATATCAGATAAATGTCCTTGTACATTTTTAAGGTAACCATTCATTTACTGGTTAAAACTAGTTTTCAAATTTTAAAAAGTTCTAAATTGTGCATAATATTTTCTTTCTCTCAAATATTGTCATCATTGTGTACTACATGTACAATATAAACAGAAAAAAGCATGCCCCTTTAATGAAAATACAGAATGAAAAAATATCATATTTATAATGCTATGAGATCAGTATGTTTAAATCATCAATTGAGATTCTAAATACAGAAGTCTTCTAATCAGCAATAAAACATGTCTTAAATACAAAATTTCTACGTAAAATATTTCTATATTAATTTAAAAGTGAAGTTTCTAATGCTAGGAGTGTCCATATATTATATATAAATTTATCACCAAAACAAGTCAATATCATCATAACAATAATCTGTCAATAGGCAATCTATTTTGAAAAAAAAATCAAAAAAAATCAAAGTTTGCAAGAAATCACATGAGGTAAGAATCGCCCCACTGGTATTAACCACATATTTTTCTCTTGGTAAAATTCAAACCTATTCCTAAACCTTCTAAATTTATGAAATGGATTTGCCCAGCTTTGAAACATGGAACAATCCATTCAAATTCTACGGGATTTCAATCACAAAGAAGTGAAAATACAAAAATTGAATGGATAGAACTTGGTCAGATTGCACAAAAATGAAGGCTGGCCTGGCTCTATACTAGTGACAAAGGTAAATCATTTAAGTTCTAGCAGGTAAAGGGTGACAGTAACTTTCTTGACAGCTAGCAACAGCAGCAATGACTTTTCCTATGCCGCCAATATAGAAACAGGCTAGCCTACAAATTTACAAAATTCACCTGGTCTTGACAAGAATCTATCCTGTCAACTGATTAATTTTTATGAGTTTGCTACTTAAATCTCTTTGCACTAACAATAAACCATTTCAACTTCAAACCAGAACAGGTTAATTATAATTTATACTGATTCAATGAGGGTTAGATTTGTTTTAAAAACAAAAAGCATCCATGTCACTAACTTGAAAATATAACCCCAAATTTCAGAGCCACAATGTCAGATAATCCCATTTTAGACATTACCTCAAAAGCAAATTTTCAATCTACACTGAGACAATTCTCACCTCATACAGTATTGTAATACAAACCTTAGAATTCATTTCAAAACTTCCTATAAATTTTCATACATAGTAAACAAATAAAATAAAAACGTACCTATAGAAATCTGAGAAATTTCTAACACTTGAAGAAAGAAGCTTGGTAAATAAATATCATCAACCCATCTATACAAATAAACTTTAATACAATATAATATATCACTATATGGGTAAAAATGGTATAAATCACTCAAATACCAGTAACAATGAGAACAATAATGATGCATTTCCATGGAAATCGATGATGTCATACAAAGTTGCTATGGAGATTTATGATGTCATAGGTGTTGCTTTTCTTACAAAAAATGATGTCAGAATGTACTATACTAGAAATATAAGAGTATCATACATGTATACAGCCAGGTCTCTTTATGTATGGATGAAGTCATCTTTGTTTCCATAGGAACAAATGACGTCATAAATTTACAAATGGCAATATATTACTCATGGATGTCATTGGTAAAAATGCCATCACTTTTGCCATTATATAATTCATTTTTGTTGCCAGGAGTATATCAAGTGTATTTCTATGTCTTTTTACACATTTTGGCTGATTTAATATAAATAATAATACAAACTTTAGTAAAAATATCATACCTTATAGCTGTTATCAATTAAAAATTAAAATCTATGATGTCAATGATATGTCACATTTCTATTTCTATTTTTTTTTTTTTACTTTCTGAAACATGGATACCGGTATGCATGTACCACTTTACCTAACTGCGTCAGTACTTTACCTCATGAATATGCATGAGAAATGATTGTAATGTAATGTAATGCATGACATTAACAACAACAACAGACATTCATGAGAACTAAATAAACACCAAAATGTCTTAAAAATAATATAAAATAACAGTGTTTTAACACATAACTGACTCTGCTTTAAGCAGGCTTAAACTGAAAGAAAATAACTAAACAATATATATTTTTTCAAAAAAATAAGTGCAAAAACAAAAAAACAGTGCTCTTGTTTACGCTGTACAGATACATTTTCTTTTAAAATTTCAAAGATTTCTATCTAGAACAATTCTATAAAGAAGTATTCATAAATCTAAGTGCTGATATATATAAACATATTTCATTGTTGTTGTTGTTTTTTTTTAAACAAAATGTAACAAATTTTAGATATTAAATCAAAAAGAGCTGAAGTTAACTGTACATATTTCTAATTACTTGTATTATCCGCAGATGCTTGGACAAAAAATCTACAGGCCAACTTTTTAAATATTTTACTTACAGTAAGATTTAGGTCATGGGCCTGTCTTTTGAACCCATATACATGTACCTGCTGAATTTGTGAAAAAAAAATTGCAATTCTTTGAATTTGGATTTTGGAACAGTCTATTTAAAGATTTTTTTCAAATACAAAAATTCAGCTACCAACAGCCTGTTGAGACTGCATGGATACGACAGCTAAGGGTTTTTATTAAAATAATTCTGGAGCCTCAGAGAGAAAAAAAGACAAACAATAATACCTTCCACCCCCTTCCAAAACAATCACTTGACAGAAGATAAAAAAGAAACAAAACAAAAAAAACATAACTTGCAACACCTATTTTCTTGCTTTTAAAGCGCCAATGACCTGAAAGCAATCATTCCAATGTAACTGGAAATATAGGAAAGTTTCAAATATAACTATGAAATTAGCAATTATTTCCTTGCACCAGGGAAATTATAAAAATCAATTATAATTTCAACATTTTTTGGAGATTAGCAATAATATATAATTATTTTGATGAAACTGGGAAATAAGAAACTGACATAATGAAACTGGGAATATATCTCATAAAAGTAATCATTACTTAACTGGAACGGAACTATGAAATTGGAAATAATTTCCGTATTATTTTTGAAAATTAGCAAATATTTCATGACTTTGGAAATTAACAAACATTTACATAGTTCTTGGAAATAAGCAATTATTTCCATATATCTTGCAAATTATCAATTAAATGTAACTTGGGAAAAAAGCAATTGCAATTATTTCAAAGTAACTGGAATCATAGAATTTAAAAAAAAAAAAAAAAAACTTGGAAATTAGTACTCTGTAATTGGAAAATTAGGTCGAACACGTACGATGATGTAATGGCCAACAATTGGACTGGAGAGGGAGGTAGGGGGAGAGATGGGGACAGTGATTCATACACTTCATATACTTTGTACAATGGGAATGAATGGAAAAGAAAAAAATCCTTTAACAAAACAACTTTTAAAAACTATGTTAAAATATAATTTGATGTCAGCTCTTTAGTTTGTTTTTTTCTTCTAATATTTTCTAATACATTTCATTCAGATATCAAAACTAAATGATAACACTTCAATTTGTACTGAATATTTAACGTCCTGATATCGGGTAATAGACACTAATATCACATTGTTACGACCGTTGACTCTCATATCCAGCTGTCAACTTTTCTTACGATCGCCTGCGCAGAATTTTCCGTGCATGTGAAAAACTAACAAGGTCACGTGTGCCAACGGACATCTCCGCACTTTAACTCCAGGATTAGAGGTTGTCTACTAGTCCAGCACAAAATACTTCAGCGTTACGACGACGTCGACTGTGCACGCAGTCAAAACTTCGTGGAATGGTTAACAGGGTTTTCATGTTTCCTTTTCTCAAGCGTTACCTTGGTGATAAGCTGGTTCACTCTTACGATAGGCCTAAAATGTATGTTTCACATTTCACAGTTACAAAATTCTTCAAAACATACGATCAAAGAAAGTGTTTTTCATTTAATAAAGCAAGGTAATTCATCTATTATAAAGCAAAAAAGCCTGCACATTTTGTCACATGATATCTTACGATGATGAAATAATTGCCATGTATAACAAACACAGACAAGTCAGCCAAATTTATATCACTGCCTTGAAAATGAATATAATAAAATTATAGGCCAAATTTATGTAATTAATTGACAAAATATCAAACGAGTTAACTTCAACATAGTTTTAATTTGTAACAAATATTTTCATGTAGTTTCACAAGTTTTCCTTTATCCACCATTAAAATTGATGTAATATTGCTATAACAACTGCTTCAAAAATTTACATTAACTGAAATAGGATTAATTACAGTTGCAAAATGACAAATTTAAGCACAAATTTTTAATAAAATTGTTCATTTTTCAGTTTACGAAACAAGAAATTTTTAATTTGAGATAATACATGTACTTGTATTTTGAAATATTTACCAGCAAATATTATCATATAATACTGTGTTAGTATACAGTGTTAAATAGTATAGTGTTAAGTATTATCAACTACAAAAGGTACGTGTATACAAGGGTGGAATGAAAATTTGTTAAATGCCTAATACATATACAAAAAATTGTTTTTATAATATGATCCACAAAATTCATTTCGTGCTTAAAAAATAACAAAAAAGAGAAAACATTGCTTCAGATCTTTTACATATACCTGTAATGTAAAATAGAAATTGAAAATGCCAGCATTTAAGAAGTAAATAACTAAAAGATCTTATTGGTAAATTTTCTATGTAATCAAAACAGCCGGCTGTTGTTTTTGTGCGTGTATGCTTTCTTCCAAAATCAATCAGATGACTTTCAAATAAAATGCCAGAACAGTAGAGTTCAGAAAACGAAACGAGAGATTTCGTCTCTTTGAAAAATCAACAAAACATCATTTTTTTAATTTGAGTCCTTTGAACATATTTTAAACCTTAACCTGCTGAGTTTGTGTAATGGACTTGCCCTCCTTTGAATTTGAAACAATCCATTTTGAAATTTCAGGATGTGCAGGCCGAATTGACAGTATAATGGTGGCAAAGGCAAATCACTTTTGGTTCCAGCAGTTTAGAAGTTTAAAAACGTGTGACGGAAATTTTACGATATATCAGAATATTATGCAGTATAAATTGAAATCTTAAGTAAAATCGGCATGTCAAATATAGAAAAAAACTTACTGTAACGACAAAAGGAATTTATTACCGTACAGTTTATAAAAAATGGTCTGAGAAAACTTTTGACTTACATCATTATACGGTTGATTAGGTTCCGAAGAATAATAATAGAATAAGACAAAAGTTAGAGGTCAAGCTATTTCACATTCCCTTATTCACAACTTTATAATAAGAACAAACATAAAGAAGGTGCTTGTTGGAAATTCTTTGGTTAAAAAAAAAAGGTCCGATAACAATCATGTTGAAAAAAAAGAAAAACCGAGTTGAACATTAACTAATACACCAATGTACAAAGCTAGTAGTACCGGTACTTTTAATTTAAATTATAAACAGGTAAGATAAAAATATGAATACATTCGCCTAATTAGTAACTAACAAGGTTTCTTATAAAGAATATTATTTATTACTAATTGGTCATTCTAATACAATATTTTTACCAATTTTCTTTCATGTGCGAACAGGTCGAAGTGACTACATTGAAAATGTTTATAAAAATTTATGAACAAACACCTTCTGTGTACATGCATGACGGGTATTAGATCAGAAATATAAAGTATGGGGTTCATGATACATGTCAAAACATTGCATCAAAACAGCAATCCTCTATCGAGTCAGAATAAAAACATTTTTTCAACATTGTGCTTTAATCTATGTACAAAAAAAAAATGTATGTTTTGTTTTGTTTATTTACACTAGGCACCAGACCAGCTGGATTGTCACTATGGAAACAACATTACATGTTGTCGTCATAGCAACCATGTCAACATGGTTGTCTAAATATAGTAACACTGAATATATATATGTACAAAAAGAAAAACAACAGTATAAAACATCAAACTTTTTAGAAATGCAAGTTATTTGAGTAAATCTGATAAAAATTGATTTCACAAGAAAAAAATATAACGAAAGAAAAAAACTGTCAACTTTTGAGAAACAATGAGAGACGAACTGTACAAATTTCATAGAAAAACACATGGTAAAAAAATAATGCAAAAGCCATGAAAAAAGTTTCTACTGAATTGTCATACATTCAACTATACTCTAGGCTATATAAAAGAGGGAATCAAGGCTCAATGCATGAGTGTTGCGACTCCATGAACAAGTTACATTAGTGGTACGTTGAAAAACCATAATACCGTATTTATTCTAAAATAAGCCAACAAGAGCCATGCAAAACACCAACCGGGTGATTTTTGAGAACCACTTTTCATCAAATGGACCAATTATGGTAATCTTTTGTTGTTTAGCGCAAAATAAAAGTCCTAGAGTAGATCAATAAAAGTTATGTTGCACTGATAATTTTTTATTTATTAAGGCAAGGTGAGGTGCATATCACGTTTTATATATTAAAAAAACCTGAGGCATTTTATATTAGGACAAATACGGTATTTTTAATATAAAGGCTATCCAATACACAGATCTTTTCATCGAGTGACTAAGATTTAAATTCAAACCTATTCAAATGAAAAACATTTTTTGAAAACAACTTCTAATATTCGAAACCAAATTTCCAGTAAAGTGAGATGTCAAACATTGAAGAAATGCGTAAATTTCTTAAGACTTTAATAGTTGGAAATGCCCATTATCAATTTTTGGGGATTTCAAGGTGAAATTATGAAGTCAGCCAGCCAAAAGTAAAGATATTGATCAGACTGCACAGATGTGTAGGTCAGTCTGGTTCTATACTGGTGAAAAAGGTTTATCACTTTCATTCTCAGCATGGATAATTAACAAATAAATCATATGGCAGGTCTGGAAAAATTATTCCAAATCTTTGTAACTCAGATGAAAGAATCTGTGTTTCTAGCATACCGGATGTTAAGGCATGTGAACACAATGTTAAATGATACATGTTATCAATGCACATTTGTTTATGGTAGTTCAGTTCTATGTTTATGTTAATAGTGAACATAATTGATCATAGATTTACTTATTAAAATGACCACATAGTTTTAACTTGATATGCCTCAAATGCTGAGCCATGGAGTCTTAATGTTTTATGCCAAATATTGACAAAACCCCAAGATGTTCAATTTGTATAAATGAAATCACAAATTTTCATTACAAATTGCCAAATAAATATATTATAAACATTATTAATTGCTCATCTGTCAAAAATAATCCCCTCAAAGCCTACAGCACTTTAGTGAAAAATATTGTACAAGATTTCAAAACTGAATGAGAAGACCAGTCTAAATATTCTCATCAGCCATTGGTCAAATTTCAAGCCCCAACAATGAATCAGCTAATCAGATGGCATATTTTCAGAATGGTTCCAAAAATTAAATTTTATCAATTTTTTGTTCAATGTCCAAAACGATACCGGTAATTACAAGTTTGAAAGATTTTTAGATTCTTCATTTATCATTTGTATTTTTCTAGAACCGTAATTTTCCCCCATTAATTTCTTGTATATACTGTCTTATTATTCCAACTACCTTGAATACATGTATAAGGTATCCGACCCCCCTCTTCCCCTAAAGAATGCTTGTAAAAAGACAAATGTCCAGAAATTGACTCTTATGCATATCAGATAACCTAATTATATACATGTTGTTATACATTTTATGGTGAGAAGAAGAAAAAATAAAATGCGAAAAAAGTAAGGTGCATGTTTCTACATCCAATATAGATGTACAAAATGTGAGAAATAGATTTTACCCCATGTATAATAAAAGTAGAACATCTGACACAGAAAAAAATGTTAGTATAATAATGCTATGACAATGTAATAAAACAGCAAAAAAGATCTATGTATACAGTTAATAATCTCCCATTGCCCACCCATACATCACAGGGCTTTTGTTTCCCCCCCTTTGTTTTGAAAGACTGTTAGTAATAAAAACACTGTACGGTTAGTTTTTTAACACGCAGGTATACACTGTCATTTGTTAAAAACTCCACACAGTTACGATAGAATCACACAGATTGAAGCATGCACAGCCTGTATAGGGACGTAAAGCCAATGCTATAAGGTTGTGACATATACCATTTTAGAACTGTCTCTTTTGTCAGTGTCTTCGTGATAACCGGGCCTATGTCGAACGTCATCCTGAGCAGAATACTGGTTATAGTCTTTCATTTCGTGGGCCCGATATCCGCCCAAATGTTCGTAATAAGGTCCCTGTAAGCTGCCAGACCGATGCTCATGTAGCAGACGTCGGGCAGCCATCTCTAACTGCTCCTGCGTCATGTCCCCTGCTTCTGCTATTTCACGCTTCAGTGCTTGAACATTTACCAAATGGCCTAAACCTTCGCTATGTATCACCTATAAACAAACAAAATATACATATTAGGCCAAATACTAACCAAGTAAAGGTCAATATTGTACTTTGATAACTTTAATAAAATAATGAAATAATATCTGAAGAGTCAAGGTGGACATTTATCATAAAACTAGGTTTTCTGCCAGTATTATTACTAACATAACATAAAACAACAATAAAAAGAGCCATAACTCTGCCAAAATTGATCAAATCACAAAACCCTAACAACATTTGCCAGACACTTATTGAATAGTTCTGTGAAAGTTCGATTTGGACAAAATTACATTCAACCTGGTTAGAAGATATTCCATGAACAGTAAAATCTCTCGTTAAATAGTCATGCTTATTGTTTGTTTGTTTGTTTTTGGTTTTACGTCACACCGACACAGTATAGGTCATTTGGCGACATTCCAGCTTTACTGGTGGAGGAAGACCTCAGGTGCCCTTCCATGCATTATTTCAGGCACGAACGGGCACCTAAGTAGAACCATCTACGTTCCGTAAGCTAGCTGGATAGCTTCCTCATATGAAAGAATCCAAAGTCCCTGTCAGGATTCGAACCCACAGAGGTGAGGGGCAAGTGGTTTGAAGTCAACGACCTTAACCACTCAGCCAAGGACGCCCCTTAGTCATGCTTATATGCAATATATCATCTGTATATCAACATTAAAATAAAAAATACTATATATGTTGGTTCCTCCTGATATCATTGGTCACTAAAAATAGAAAACTCACTTGTTCCACGAGACTTTCCGCACTACCAGCCCCGTGCTGATCTTGTAGCCTCTCTGAAGGTATACATAGCGGTCCTCTATCTCTATGTGGCATACCGTCTGCTGTTAACACTGTATCGCTGTGTCGCTGACGTGATAAACTGTCGGCTGCTATACCCTCACCTTCAATGATTGATTTGGAACGGTTGAAACGAAGAAATGGATGTACTGGAAACAAGACATGCGGTTAGTCATGCGTGAAAGGTCAAGGTTAAATGTATAGACAGTTAATATGTTAATGTGTAGACAAGAAACACACATGGGTAGGTTTGTTAGCACACTGCTACAATTAATATTGAATGCAACCCTTAATCTGCTAAAATGGATAAAGCCCTGCTTTGAATTTGGAACAGTCCATTTGAAATTTAAGGGATTTCAATATCCTAATACAAAAACTGAGCTCCCAATAATATAGAACTAGGTCACATTGCACAGATAGACTGTAGAGTATACTGGTTGCAAAGCCTAATCACTTTTGGTTCAAGCAGGTTATGGGTTACTATTTAATTTAAAAGTGGAAGTAAAACAAAAATGCTTACAAAGTAAATATATGTAACTTCATATATCATACTATAGTGTTATCAAAGCTACAAAAAAACTGTTATTAAAAAACAAACAACCTATTTTATTTAGTGTTAAAGTTAAACACATATATTAAACAGTCTGGGAGGAATTATAATAAGAATTGTGGAATATCAGAGAACAAAAACACTGTAATATATCAAACAACTTAATGTTATATCGGAAATACCATTTGCACATTTGCAACACATTTGGAATTAATGTATAGACATATTTTACATTTCGCAAAAGAGTATGATGTTAGTTTAAAAAGACTACTATTAATACTCAAAGCTATTTTCAAAGAAATACAATCAAGATTTAAGTTACTATGACCTCTAATTCAAGGAATTATAGTGTGCTATAAACACTGTTTCAAAGCAAATACCACTTATGTAAGCTATTAGCATTAAATGTAGGACAAGGCATACTCTTGTGAAAAAGACCTTGTCAAGGGGAAACAAATCATATAAATTTCACTAACAAGAGACAGTTGTCACAAACTAATATCTGCTTGACAGTGATATCAAAGTGTCTTCAGGTATATTTTGTACTTATGAAAGGCATAATATGAGTTAATTTTCACAACTTTACTTTTCTCCGACAACTCATGATAGATTCAATGACAATTAACAACTGGTGATTAGTTTCAATGACAATTAACAACTGGTGATCAATTTCATGCCAATTAATAGTAAGCAAATTTCAGAACAATCAAGGTTTCAAGGTTGATTAATTGCAGAACTTATTATATAGTCCACCTTCCATTATCAGGTTCATATGTAACTTATATACATATACATGCATGTTTGACAGGTTATATGGCCAAATATAAACTGGAGTAAGCTTATATAACCGAAACCATTTTTACATGGCCATAAATTTGATTAACTAATTCATAATACTACATAATTCTTTTACTTGAGAAAATATAACAAGAGGGCCATGATGGCCCTGAGGTCGCTCACCTGTATATAGGCCCCCCCCCCAATGTTGCAGGGCCAATTTAACCCAAGGGCTTTTATTTGCACAAACTTGGTAAACACCCATAAGAAAATGTTTCATGCTAAACATCTAAGCTCTAGCTCATTGGGCTTTTTAAAAGAAGATTTTTTTTAAGTTTTTACTATACACATATAGTTAAAAACAATGACACCCCTGGGGCTGGGCCAGTTTTGACCCCAGGGCTTTTATTTGAACAAACTTTGTAGACACTTACTAGAAGATGTTTCATGCTTAATATCTAAACTCTAGCTATTTGAGTTTTTTCAAAGAAGATTTTAAGTTTTTGCTATACACATATAAAGAAAATCAATGACCCCCGGGGTGGGGCCAATTTTGACCCCAGGTCTTTTATTTAAACAAACTTTGTAGACACTCACTAAAAGATGTTTCATGCTTAATATCTTAACTCTAGCTATTTGGGTTTTTTTCAAAGAAGAAGATTTTTTAAGTTTTTGCTATACACATATAAGGAAAATCAATGACCCCTGGGGCGGTGCCAATTTTGACCCAGGGCTTTTATTTGAACAAACTTGGTAGACACCTATTAGAACATATTTGACGCTAAATATCTTAGCCATAGCTCTTTGAGTTCTTTAAAAGAAGATTTTTTAAAGTTTTTACTATATGCATATAGGGAAAATCAATGACCCCCCGGGGCGGGGCCAATTTTGACCCCAGGGCTTTTATTTGAACAAACTTGGTAGACACTTATTAGAACATGTTTCATGCTAAATATCTTAGCTCTAACTCTTTTGGTTCTTTAAAAGAAGATTTTTTAAGTTTTTACTATATGCATATAGGGAAAATCAATGACCCCCTGGGGCGGTGCCAATTTTGACCCCAGGGCTTTTATTTGAACAAACTTGGTAGACACCTATTAGAACATGTTTGATGCTCAATATCTTAGCCATAGCTCTTTGAGTTCTTTAAAAGAAGATTTTTTAAGTTTTTACTATATGCATATAGGGAAAATCAATGACCCCCCGGGGCGGGGCCAATTTTGACCCCAGGGCTTTTATTTGAACAAACTTGGTAGACACCCATTAGAAGATGTTTCATGCTAAATATCTTAGCTCTAGCTCTTTGGGTTCTTTAAAAGAAGATTTTTTAAGTTTTTACTATATGCATATAGGGAAAGTCAATGACCCCCCGGGGCGGGGCCAATTTTGACCCAAGGGCTTTTATTTGAACAAACTTGGTAGACACTCACTAGAAGATGTTTCATGCCAAATATCTAAGCTCTAGCTCTTATGGTTTTTTAAAAGAAGATATTTAAAGTTTTTTCTTTCGGTTGCCATGGCAACCAGAGTTCTGCATGGAATTAAATTCTTTGAACAATTTTTAAAGGTGACCACCAAAGGAACATTCCTGTGAAGTTTGGATGAAATTGGCTTAGTGGTTTATGAGGAGATGTCATTTAAAGAAAAAGTTTACGGACGACGGACGGACGGACGGACGGACGGACGCCGGACGAAAAGCGATCACAAAAGCTCACCCTGTCACTTTGTGACAGGTGAGCTAAAAAGTGATTCACAGATTTTCAACACTTGTGAATATGGATAATATAAACATTGCAATTATCCAATGAAAATTGACTTTATAAACACATGCAATTTTATAATTGGTAAGATAACCTAACAATAATTTATATATATTCTCACCTGGCTGACTATATGAGGACCTGACTCTATTTGGGGAGGACATCGGTGTCCTTTGTACATTCGGGTAATTCACTTCTCTCTGGCGGCCATCAGATGTTAACCCAGCTACAGCCATTGCCTGTCAAAACAAAGTCATCAATATCTTAAAAGTTATATCAATTTCACTGTCTTTATGTGTTTGTGTTAAATAGAGCACATTCAAATATTAATAAAAACTCGTCAAGTGACCAGAACATGTTCATAACTTTATAATTAAGAAACAATCAAGCACATACATCACTTAATGATTAAATTAGAATCAAGCACATATAATACCATTGAATATCATAATACATGTATTAGTATCTTTATTTTAAACCTGAACTATAAATTTTAAATTTTTATTATCTTATTATTAAAATCCATGAACAGTTAATTATTAATATTTAATTATTTTTTGCAGGAATTAAAAACAAATCAATCTGATAAACTGGGAAAATACATGACAGGCCCATTGTATCATACACTGTTAATTTCCAAAGAAAAAAAAGGGTAAAAGTTAAGTGTTAAAAAAAGAGGATAAAATATTATCATAATACAATGTGTTACATGTGATAAATAAATATTTGGATAAGAAAATATATACAAGTCATATAAATATGTATTTCCCATGACTATATGTCTTTAACTTTATGATTATATAACTATAACTTTGCCATTGTTTATCTATACGCTGGTCTAGACTAGCCAATTTAAAAACAACTGCTTTCCTTTTACTACCTCTATTGAAATTAAACCATTCCGTATAAGAATGTCTTCACCATTAATAAAAAGAAATGGAGTATACCAGTGTGTTGCAATTATATTATAATAATAAAGCATTCCAGCCCTAAAAGCGAATACAGGCTTCACAGTAATGAAACTTTGTTTGTCTTTTGTTTTCTGTCCTGAATCTTTGGAGTTTCATTGGTCAATATAATAAATGTCATCACCTAAGCACAATAACTGGTCAACTCCTATTAAATTTTGAAGGTCTTAACTCATTATTGCACTAAGGTGACAATATATGTTGTGCTGGTCTCTGACAAATCAAAGACCCGAGATCTGAGTTTGTGGTCTTAGAAAAATTCTTTAAAACCTTTGACCAAGCTAGGCTAGTGAATTCATTTTCCTAGTATTAAAGTAAAGAACCAGTTCCAACCATTCTGATTTCTTTATATTGTTGTCGGCTACACTGAATCTTAATCCTGACATCCCTGTATTTTATAATGGACAATTTTCAAATTCAAACCAAGGACAGTCCATTACACAAAATCAGGCTGAAATGCTTTTTCACAATATAATTATCATTTCCACTGTTACACCATATTTATGTGACTTACTACACCCATTCTGCCTTCTAAATATATGAAACAATTATTTAAATGCAATTACAATTTTCACAATTCATTATAATATGCAATAAGGACTTGAAAGTTTAAGATAATAAACAGATTTGTCCAACTTCCAATTTCTGGGAGTATCCATTATCAATTTTTGGGATATTAAGATTAAAATTTGAAGTTGGTCAGCCAAGAGTATACAGTCTGGTCGGACTGCACAGATCAGTTAATCAGTGACCAATGACATTTGACTATTGTTCTTAAAGGTCCCTTAAGCCCAAAAACTGCCAAGATTTTTTTTTCAAAAGTTTTTTTTTTATCATACTGTTACAGTTTGCAAAATGATACTCATTGGCCTTCATGTTTCTCGGAACAATGATTTGCTTTTTGGCAATAAGTTAAGTTACAGTGTTTTAGTATTTTTGTATGGAAGTCAAAATACAAGTTGGTCAACATTTTCCTTCTTTTATGACAAAGTTTTTTTTGAATTTAGCACTACTTCCTTTACTAGATAAGCACCCAACATAGACTAAAATTTAATTGATAATTGAAATATTATATAACATATGATTTTCATTTTTGTGAGGAAAAAAATAATAGTCATTTCTGAAGCATAATTTGCCTTTAAGCATCATCCAACAGTGCTTTAAATTGTATTCTAGCCAATCTTTGATGTGAAAAAATTAAAAAAAAAACACCCCAAACTTATATTATATAGCAATATTTTTTGCGGTATTAAAAAAGAGGTAATTTTCAATCTGGAAAAAATCAACGTCACATAACAGTTGTTTCAGTACCTACGTATGGCTTTCAAGTGAGACTTACATATACATTTACACAATAATTCCCATATATAACATGTGCAAAAGTGAAGAAGAGAAAATAAGGTGAAAATATTTGCAATCAAATACACTAACAACTAATCAACGAATATATTTACCAGCTTTTTTGTTGCTTTTGTTTAATTATTTTACATGATCAATATTTTCAGGTAAGCAGGTTCAAGCCTTGTGGTCAATATTTCATAATAAAGCTAAGAATGATTTTACTTAGTTTCAGAACAACAAATATTTTCCCTTATTACAACAGTAGCAAAATGCACTTACCTATGAAAGTATGTACGTGGAAAAAAAGGCATATGGCAGTATTGTGTCAGCCTTTATATATAGCCTTTCAATTGCAATACAATGATATATTTATAGCCTTGAATAAGTGACTAATACTGTGTGGTATATACATGGTGCACAGATAGTTAACGCCATAATTTGTCACGAGACCATTGGACTTATACCTACATTATTTACCTGCGACTGGGTCAATTTTAGGGGCTCTCCGACTTTCCGCATCAGTGGATTCTCGTCACTGCCTTGTTTGCCTATACACCCAAGACGGTAAGCCACGCCTTTGCGTGATAACTTTCGTGGTGGGGGTGTGGGTGGGGCATGCTCTCTTTCATAATCACTGTCTTCTTGTGGCAAACTAAAATCAACAAATGCCGTTAAAAAAAAAGAAAGAAACAAAAACTAAAATGGGTCGGAATAACAAATATTATCAGTCGGGTGAGGACACTGGCATGCTTTCTTTGTCATGGTCACTGATTTTATTATTTGAGGTAAACTTAAGTCAACAACTTCATGAAAACAGTATGTATTTCAAACAAAAGGGCGTGGCAACTTTAGTAGAGGGTGTGTGTGTGGGCGGGGCATGCTCTCTTACATCATCAGTGTGTCCTTGTTGTGAACTAAAATCATCAAATGTAATTTAAATACAATTCAGATAATCTAAAAATAGCATTATGTCACTTAATAAAATGCATATATACATGTTTATTTGAAAACTATTCTATCAAGTAATATGGTGATTGAAATACTGTTATACATGCACATGTATAACATGTGCAAGTATTTATGTGTAATTCTCCCTCATTTTCAAGTCCAAATTCATCTCCCCTTAAAAAAAATACATAAAACTTAATTTGTAAAAGCACCAGGCCTCTAAAAGTATACTATATATGAACTTCTACTTTCAATTATAAAAAGGGCCACCATAACACATTAAGGTTGACATGTAAATCAGTGGCATAAATCATGTGAACTATTACATGGTTTGAGAAATATATACATTTTTCAAACATTTCATACACTTGTACTTTTTTAAAAACAATTTTGCTAATCATTCTGGCTGCATGCAGCATTATGGAACAGTGCTAGAAAATTAAACTTAAAGGAACTCCACTGAGATTCAAAAGCCTAAAAAACATAAAATTTAAAAAAATATTATATAGATCAACTTGGGCAAAAAAAAATTAAAAGTATGAAGAAGATAATAAAGAATATATACTTAATAAAAATTCAAAATCAATATCAGGTGTAACTCTAAGCCAGATTTTAGTTAAACTTTCATTTTTAGGTCATTTTGCATAATAAAAATGATAATTTAGGAAAAATTGAGAGAACAATTGATCAGAAATTTTGTGCAATTTTTTTTTTAAAGACCTACATGTACATCTAATATTGTATAAAAAAAACTAAAAAAAAATTCCAGTCCTGTCACATCAAAAAACTTCAGTGGAGTCCTTTAAGATCATTTTATTAATCAAAGCATTACGAAAATAACACCTACTCTCTGTATACATAAATGGGTTGTTTTTTCAAGTCTTGTATATTATTGATATGGTTTGGTGGGTAACCGGTCGAGTTTCTGTGTGCCCACTGGTCCTGCGAGGCTTCAGAAGCCACACTAATCTGACTTCCTTCCTCAACATCATGGAATGATCCTTCACTGTTAATATATGAAAATATACATTCTGATATATGGATCTTGATTTATTATCAATATACCGTAAAAAGTAAGTTAACCTTGCGTAAATTACACATAAATTACATATAAATTGTCTAAATATACAGAAATTATTCTTGCTGCATTCGTAACATTAACATTTATTTTACACTGTCACATTTTGCATAATAAATTCACAATTCTTAAACCTATAAATATATATATCTCTTTTTTTTTAACAATAGATTTTTTTTTCTCATCTGCAGGCATGCCCCTTTAACAAAATATATAATATAGCTCACCTAGTGGCCCGACTTGATCGCCGAGAAACATTATCTTCTAAAGCTGGTGGTGCTGGTGGAAGAATTGGATTGGCTAATGGTGACTGTGATCTATTTATAGCATTATTTAAATCTACGTTTAGGCGATTCTCTCCTATATGATTGCTAGATTCCGATGGAGACAGTTTTCCAGATACCGAATTTCTCGGGGATGGCTTAGAGTGCGGGCCATGGAATGAATTTGTAGGTGAAACTTTTGGTGGGTTTTGTGCATGATTAATAAATAATGACTGCGTCCTAGTAGTGAATGGTAGGCCTGTTTTTACAGTTCCAGTCAGGGCATTCATAACACTGCCAAACAAACTGTGATTTCTCTGCAATAAATATATAACAATTATAGAAGATGGAGCAAAATTTGCTCTTATGCAGTTGTATATTCCTTGTTCAGTCTACAAATACTACAAGCTTAGTCTGCAATAATTATGATAATATACCAATCATAAAAACATGTATACAACGTTGGTACAATACACTCAGAAGAGGAGGAAAGAATTTTAAGCACTATCCTAAGATTTTGTTTGGTTTATGGTGCACCAACATAATTTAAGTAATATGGCGCCGGAACAGAAAAGATGATTTTGGCTAGCCTCGGTTGTTACAAAACGTAAAGAAACACCAGGGATCAATACCACTTCATCTGCTGGAGATAAGAGATACATAGAACCGGGTATATCAAACCCATTTAATTGCCTCTTACGATCACACATGGATAAAAGAGTGGATACAACTCTGATGCCTCAACCCTTAAGGGCAACCCCTCAGCCACAAGGGGGCTAAGATTAAGTGAAAATCTACAAAACATACTAATAAAACTACAAGACAGAAAAAGATTTATTCATATCATGGGCTAACATCGTAATATAATAGCGATGATTTAAAGTGCCTACCCTATGCATTGGCTCCTCAACATCCTTATCAGGGAATTCCTCCTCACCGAGGTTACCGGAGATGGCACGACGTATCTCAGGACCCAAATCATGCACTGCTCGCAAACCAGCCTGAATATAGTACAATAACATACATTAAACCTTTAGCCTGCTAGCGGAAACTGATTCTACCCATGTGACCAGTGTACACTATGATCAGCCAGTATGTCTGTGCTGTTGAATCATGGTCTGCACTGTTTGCTATTCAGTCAGTACATATTTTGAAAAAATTTTCCCTGATTAATGATCGAATTTGGTTTTTTGTCTTAAACAAAAAAGAAAAATGGACAAAGTCCTTTTAAAACATAATATTACAATCTACTAGGTGACAGGGAGAGAGTTAAAATAAGTCTGCCCCCAAAAATACATTGGAGAGCAAATTTGTCACGCCCAAAGAACCCAACGGTCGACCCTGAACATGTGTTGCAATATCTTCAGTTAAATTTTGGCTTTTGCCAAAATTTCGCACTTTTGCCCTCATTTTGAAGCAAAATACAAATTTCTTACCAAAAACAATTCGATGTTACCTGTACTTTTGCCCATGAGAATCGTTTACAATATTATATTCTTTAGGGACTACATCATAAAACAACAAGATTCCTTGTCAATGAATTTTGAAACATCTATGCACTTGTGCTACTTTAGAATAGCACTCTCAAAGTATGTCATATAGGCTGGTATTCACATAATAACACATTTAGAATACTACACTGATTGGCGCTTACAAAATTTTTTTTACCGCAAATGCATTTGTATGTTCTTGTCACTTTCTGAATTAATTCTGTGCATTTGTTCCTTTTTTTCCCTTGAAAGCGACGGGAAATAATCCTGGATGAGGAACGTTGCATAGAATTTACCAACTGTAACATCGTCGTCCCCTACAATAAATACAACATAAATGTCAATTATAGAGAATACAATCAGTACGAGGTACTGCCTCTTTAACACTTTATCTGCTGAAATTCTTAAATTGACTAGTCTAACTTCCAGTTTTTGGAACTACACATTATCAACATTGGGGAAACCAAGATGTAAGCCTGGAAGTTCAAAGGCTGGTTTGGCTGTACAGATGTGAAGGTTGGACTGGCTATTATACTAGTGGCAAATTTAGTAGAACCATAAACTTATTTTTTTTTTAAATCTTGGTTTTACATTACACCAACACATCAGAAGATCATATGGCAAGTTTCCAGCTTTACTAGTTGAGGAAGACCTCGAGGTGTCCATCAGTGCTTATTCCAGGCCCAGCCAGGCATAATTAATAAAGAAACCATTAAAACATCCTGTATCTGGCTGGGATATTTCCTCCAACAATTGAAAAAAATCTTAAAGTCCTTTAGGGATTTGGGAAACCCAAATAATGATAAGGCCCAAGTGGTTTGAAGTCATGAACATTAACCCCAAACCATATACAAAAATATAAGAGGTAAAGAGCAAATAAAAAATTTAGTTTTTTTATTTATTGGCAATATAAAGCACCATATGAATTGAAATAAATTCTGATTTTAAACCCTGCAGCGAGGGACAACTTTGAATCTAGCAGGTTTTGGACTAGTTTTTCCTTTTTTCCAAATTAATATTTTCTTTTAACCAAAAGGGGAAATTGAACCCCTTTCCCTTTTTAGTTATAAATCATACATTTGCCTGGTCTATATTGCCCTCGACTTTAATCTTTAGAGATGTACGTACAAGGGCAAATAGCGTGGCATTAAACATCACAGTTCCATCGCTGTTTAATGGCATGTTCATACTAACTAATCTCTGTAAAACACAATTTTATCTTAGTGAATACTTAAGTTAGTGGCTGGAATATTGGTCATATATGTTAATTATTCAGCAATCTTGTCATGTGTACAGATAAATTATGACCCAACATCTTTGATCTCAACATTATCTCATTCAGTGTGTTATATTTGTAAAAATATTTCCAAAAGAATCAGACCGAAAAATATGCCATAAAATATACAAATGCGACCTTACCTTACAGGCTATACGATGAGGACAAAGTTTTCCAAAGCCTAGAGGTGGTGAAATCTTCCTAAGTAAAGTTACTACATCAAGATGTTTGATTCTGCCTCTGAAATAATTGAAAAAAAAACCTCAATCAAAATCAAGATATATTAATGCTCACTTATATTTTATTCGAATAGATAATTCAAAATCTCTCACACAAGTTATATGCTGCTAACATTACTTACTAGGTATGGATACATTAGAAGATATTGCCATAAGAAATCAATATTTTGATTCTAGCTATACCAAATCAGTTTTTACATTGATATACCGAAAATGTACCCTAGTATAGCAGTAGCATCTGTTTATATCAGAATTTACTCAAATATTTTATGCTCATGATGTCCTTCTAATGTATCACAGTTAGGCTTATGATATTAATACACTGATAACAGCTCTAGGTAAATCTACATTCTGACATCACTAAAGTTATATCATAACATTTACGACAAGAAAACCGTAACCGAATGGTTAGACTTACTTTGCCTCCGGGTCATACTCTGACCATAATCTAACAAACTCGTCTAGATGATGCGGACCAAGAATTGACCAATCACGAGTCAGGTAGTCAAAATTGTCCATGATAACAGCTACGAACAGGTTAATGATCTAAAAAAAACAAAAACAAAACAATTTTCATCATTAAGTTTTACATAACTTTTTTTAATAAAAGCTTTATGTCCACAATTCAAATGATGAACAAGAGACAATAGGATTCAAAGAAGTCGACATAGAACTAAATTGAGGATATTTAATGAGAGTAGATTCAATTCTGGCGAACATAATATTGTTTTATTCAATAAATTTAGTTCGATAAATTAATAATGAAGCTTCATAAATGCAATATTCAATTTATCACATTATCCGAAATAAGAACTGCTTAATCACTTTTTCATTGATGTGTTATAGCATAACACTTAACAATTAGCATGTCTAAACACATACATGAATATTACTTCCCAATATATAGAAGAATGTAATGAAATATACACTTACCAAGAATGAGCAAAGAATATAGAATGTAATGAAGTAGATGAAGGCAAAGTTGTTGCCGCACGAGTCCTGATCACGATTCTCTGCCTTTTGATCACACTTCACACTCTCGTCATATATACATGCTAACATAATCTGTTGCCATGCCTCACCTGTGGCTGATCTGTAATACAATAACAACATTTACAAAAGCTATAATTAAAGTTTAGCAAGGATTTCCTGCACGCTATTCGCTCTTAAAGAAATATACAAATGTAGATGTTTTTGAAGTATTCTCTATCGAAATGCCAAAAAATAATTTTTTTTATAAAATACAGGCAGAGTATACTATTACTCAACTTGTAAAGATTTTTGACAGGTTATATGGCCCTGTATCAACAGCTGTTTGGGAAAAGCCGCTCAGGTTATATTGCAAACAACTGTTTATGTATGCACTCAATAACCTGTCAGGAATAGTTAAAATTAATTTATAATATAGCAAACTTCCTTTTGAGATTTTCTTCATAAATTGACAGCAGCCGTGTATATAAACTATATAAACGTCATGATTATCCAATGAAAAGTGATGTTACAGACGTGCAGTATTATACTTTAATTAACCCTTAGCCTGGCAAAGGAAACAGATTCTATCAATGCAACTTGTGCTGACATAGATCAGCCGGCACCTCTGTCTGATCAGGGTCTGTACAGTACTATCAATTCAGTACATGTTCTTAATTTAGAAACATTTAAGAAAATTTCAATTAAATAATGAAAGTATTTATCAAGGATGAAAGATGGATAAGTTTGTTAACAATATTTAATCTGGTTAGCATTAAAAAGAAACAAATCCGTTATTTACTTACCTAAACAGAACGAGCAGGGCTTGTGGAAACGACTGGAAGTTATTGTTGCGATGTATGGCGGTATCGTCATTAATTGCAATGCGACCAAAAACCTGCATGCCAATTACTGCATAGATGAAGAACAGCATAACGATCAACAATGCTACATATGGCAGGGCCTGAAATACAGACACTCAAATTTTGAGCAGGGTTATTTAAGTTGCATGTTTTAAGTGGGTCAACAATGTGTTATGGACCACTGCAACTTTGTATCCATTTGCTGATGGAGGAAGTTGTCTGGAACTGATTTTTGGATAATATATGGTGCAGGGAAAAAAAGTTGAGAATTCAGTAAACAGTGAATCCTTAATTGCCTAACCCTTAACCTGGTTGAATGATAATCACAAATTTAGAAACAGGCCAGCTGACACATTCATGCTGTCTGACCAGATTCTATACTGTTGACTGAATGATTTATAATTTTCATACTCTAAACACCCCTAAATTTGATATTGGACTGTTCCAATAGTGAAAATTTGGACAAGTCCATTTAAAAAATTCGGCAGGTTAAGAATTAGACTAACATCATCATAATAAAAAATAGGGGACTTAACTCCTGTAATAACAAAATACACTGTATAGCTACTGCAAGATAAAAGAGTTAATCTGTAATAAAAAAGTACACGTAAATATATCAGAATTATCTGACATACATTTAATTATACATAAAACACACAATGTACTTACTGTTAAATCTAACATAATCAATTATAATAAAATTTGAAGTTTGAAGTTTGTATGAGATAAAAGAAGTTCCCCAGCTGAACTATGTAAGAAGCACAAAATAAATGTGTTAAGGTTTTTTGACCTCAGTGGAGTTCCTTCAAACATAATTATCATTGCATTGATCGACAGACACTTGACAGAAGACTTTTTCTCTGGTCTAAAATGCCTTGCATATCATATACACCAACAGGATGGCTAGCTGTTTGATACATTTACAGCAAACTGAAATTCATTTCGGGGACACACATTTAAGAATTGGTCAAAGGAAAGGACATTTTACCCTTGATAGAAAATGAGTTTCTAATGTCTATAATATTGTCTTACATGACAAATATTTTATATCACACATACTTATATACAGGGAATAGCAAAACATTTGCAAATATTTAATACATAAAACATGTCAAAATGCATTTAACCCCCAATCTGCTTTTGTTTAATACAAACTTTAAATTTTCATCCTGATTTACCCAAAGATTATAATGGACAGTTTCAAAAATGGAAGCCGGTCAAGTCCATTTCAGAAATTCAGCAGGTTAAGGGTTAGAAAGTCAAGCTTATATAATGACATCAATTTAAACTCACAGACAAACCTGGCATAACTTAGCTAACTCTTCAAGGAAAATTACAGAAACACTGTGAAAAATGCTTTCAAAGTTGAAAATAGGACTAAGTTCTATGTCTCTAGTGCTCTGTACACCAAACCAACTTGCAAATTATCTACAGTACAATATTACCAGGTACATCAACCAATCACATCAGCAAAAAATACATAGTGACTATTCTAAAACAATGATAAAAAAAGTTTTTTTTTCTTTTTCGGCCATCATTATTTTTTATACTGCAAAGACTAAATCTGAACTAAAATGTTCTAGTGGTTTAGGTGGCTATCTCTCAAATCAAGGAACTCAAGTTTAAGCCTTACTATGGCCACAGCAATGTTTCCTTATATGGTGCTAGAACTAGTTGGTTCCAGGAAGCAAACTAAAAAGTGATTAATATGAATTGCAAAAAACTTGTTTCACAATCAAACAAGAATAAAAATGTTTAACTTTTCAACACTGGCTATTAAAATCGTTTTAATTGTATCTTTCTTTTTCTCATGGACTTTCTGATCCAAACACAGCAATGTTCCTGCATATTCTTTGATGTTTTGCAGGGAAAATTAATGTCTCTGACATTATAAACAAGAGCTGTCAGTAGGACAGAATGTTCAACTATTCTTAGTACTTGATATTACAACAAAGCTTGGATTATGTAGAATTTATTAAGTCCAATAAGCACCATAATTCTGTTAAAATCCATGTAAGAGATATATGCTTTAAAGAGAGACCTCTTATTATGCTTCCAATTAAGTGTGTACAGTTTCAACCTATTCCTTTCAGTAGTTCTGAAGATACCAACCTGACAAAAGTGTGATGGTGACACCAAGTATATAGGTTAAAATTTATTAGTACGCTTGTTTCCTCCGCGCTAAACTACCAAAGCATCTCCCTTGGGTTCGATCCCCGGGAGATACTTTGGTAGTTTAGCGTGGAGGAAGGTAGTCTAGTACTGGTGTAACTCTCCAGGAACGATGGTTAGGAAACTACCCGCCTATATGAAATACTGTTGGGAAAAGGCATAAAATGAAACAAACAAACATACTAATAAATTTAAACCTATATACTTGGTGTCGCCATCACATTTTTGTCAGGTTGGTATCTTCAGAACTACTCAAAGGAATAGGTTGAAACTATACACACTTACTTAAAAAGTGCATTGAAGCTTCACTAAAACTTTATAAGCGGCATATATGTTTATTATTGAGGTTCTACAGTATATTTATATAAATATATTTTTTAAGTTTCTGATTTTTTACATAATATGTTGGTTTGTTTTTTGTGAAATTAAATACAATACTTCATTTAACCAAGTTCTAATGACTATATTAAAAATCTATATAAACAATATATGAGCCGCATCATGACAAAACCAACATAATGCCTTAGCGACCAGCATGGATCCAGACCAGCCTGCGCATCCGTGCAGTCTGATCAGGATCCATGCTGTTCGCTATCATTTTTTCTACTTGTTATATCAGATATATGGTTTGTAAGCGAACAGCATAGATCTTAATCAGACTGGGCGGATGCGCAGGCTGGTCTGGATCCATGCTGGTCGCACACACACTATGTTGTTTTGTCATGGTACAGTAACAGCTCATATGATTTCATATAAGAACATACTTTATCAACACATGAAGCTCATAAAAACAGACAAAAAAAGTAAATGCATGGGTTTTGCATGGACTTCAATTAAACAATGCAACAAAAGTCTTTAAAAAAATATTAGTAAGGAAAATATATCATAAATCCAGGTATATCTTTCCTTATTTTTATGAAATAATGGTGAAACACTGGTGAGATATCATATAGTTACAGGATATTTTGGTGAAGAATATCATGTTGGTTACAGGATATAGGATATTTCTGGTGAAGAATGCAGATAAGAAAAAATATGGCATGTTAAACAAATGGAAAATCTAACATAAAATAAAAAAGTTGTTGTTTCGTTACGTTTTTTTGGTTTTGTTTGGTACTGGTGAACACTTGCATAAACAAATCAGTGATGGTGGATAGATGGCTCATAACATAGCTTTTATAATAAATATTATAAAATATGTCATTCATAAAAAAAAAGGAAAAAAAAAAAATCAATCAGATAAAAGTTGTGTCACAAATGAACTAAATTAAAAAGAGTTGTGGCCCTTGTATTCTTTAAGCCATTCTGGAGGAAAAAGAAAACGCCTAGTATTTTGTGGGTACGAAGTACGATGCCAGTGGATGGAGTCATGCAGTACAACTGTATACCTGAAAAGACTTAATGAAAGTCCAGAGCAGGGTTCGTATACCTTCCCCGCGACTCAGCAGCTTCACGAATCTCATTGCTCGGAACAACCGGAAGAAGTTAATACTAATAATCTGACCTCCAGTCTGTAATGAGAAACATTTGACGGCTACATAAACGTTACAGAAAACACACGAAAATACGAAACATGTATATACCTGGAAAGACTTGATAAAGGTCCAGAGAAGGGTTCTAATACCTTCACCTCGACTGAGCAACTTTACTAGCCTCATCACACGGAATAAACGGAAGAAATTAATACTGATGATACTCGACCCAGTCTGAAAACAAAATACACACCCATGCATAATCTTTGTGTTCATTACATTTAACAGATCATATAGCAAAGCTGTTACTTTCCTATGTAGAAATCATCATAAATTATAATTCCTGTTGACAAACTATAACTTTTGTTCCAATGTCAGATAAAAATTAAAAAGTGAAGATAAATAAAACAATAAAATTTTACAGTTCAGTGCATAACTCAAAAATATAACTTGAGATTGATATAGAAATATGGTGCAAAGAGGAGAAATAAAATGATATAAGAAAGGCCATTCCTGAGTTTCAATAACTGTAAAATTATCTAGGTCTGACTTTTGGATAAATGTTGACCAATGTTTAAAAAGTACAGTTAAACCTGTGTTAATGACCAGCTCTGAAAAAAGATCATCCTGTTAAATAGAACACGGTAACCTCTAAATTAAGACCACTTGTCTATAACAACCCTGTTTGGTCTCTCCTATGAGTGACCTTTGTTCACATGTTTGACTGTATGCTAAGCTCAAAAATTGATCAATTCAAACCTCAATGATATATAGTCCACATTAGTATAATTAAAACATGCATTCCTAAAAAATGACAATTTATATCTGATTTTTTTTTTAAAAAATAGTATAATAATAAAAAGCAATAAGAGTGATGTTATTTGAATGAGAAAAAAAAATACAAGAAAAAAAATATCATGCAAATGTCAGATGAAATTTCTTAGAAATATCATTTTATGCATAAGTAAAAAAGTAATATTAAAATTTCATTCATATATGAGAAGCATGCACGATTAAATATGTCTGATCTTCCTAAATGCATGCCACCAGATTTGTGCTGCTATTTTTGAAAATTTAAATATTGCTCTAATGAGTATAAAATTTTGAACAGTGTCAAATTAGATGATTTAACCAAGCACTTACTATCCACAATCACTTGTCAAAATATACTCTTTTAATAATGGTATAAAGTTCAAAGTGGGAAGTTAGCCTTAAATGTTAAATAAGCAATGATTTCTTTACCTAATTTAACCTGTCTTGAGAATAATTATACTTATTTCCTAATTTTGCTATGCTCAAATGTAAATAAATTATTTATCCCATAATAAATGAAGGAATTAAGAACAACAAATACATACTTTCACATTTAGGATTTGTTATCTGTATCGCTGTGTATTGTTCAAAATTTATCCTGTCTTTAGAGAATAATTCTACATATCTTAAACTATACATGGGAATTTTTCCTAATTACACATTTTTTTAAACTATAAATATACTTTTCCCAAGTTTTTATTTTTGAAGACTTATTTGACAGATCTATACAGGCATGCTCCTTTAACAACTTTATTAAATTCATCATCCAAAAATGTGTGGGGAAAGTATTTTAGAAGTTAACACATATAAAGAAACACATTGGTGTTTACTATTACAAGAAATGATGTGCATAGAAACTTGTTAAGATTATTATAAAAGCATGTGCTGCTTTCTTAACATATACACTATATCAAAGAATTCTAAAGAAGACAATACATTACATCAGTAAGCTTCATAGTATCGAAAAACTTTAATATTAACAATTAATATCTGATTTCATACATATATTAATAACTTAATAGTTGTAAATACATAATAAATAATAAAGTGTCAATTGGATTATGCCCAAACTTCTAGATTTTTACTTATTTTTGCATAATTTATAAAGGGTCAAATATTTCATTAATAATAATAGTATTATAACAATAAAGTTTCACAAACCTAAGACTGGGAAAATTGTATTTATTGATTAGAAGTATCATGGTGTCAATGATCTAATGACCCATGTCTCTACCTTGTTTACTAATTGAACAAACTTTTAACACAGTGTCACTGTAACCTTGACCTCTGACCTAATAACCTCAAAATCAATAAAAGTTATTAACTGGCCATTGTGTAATATTCCTATTGAGATTAAACAAGCTTGCGCCCATTACTTCTTAAATTATTTATCTGACAATGATTTTACACAGTGTCGCTGTAACCTTGACCTTTGACCTAATAACCTCAAGTTCTTATCTGACAAGGATTTTACAGTGTCACTGTAACCTTGACCTTTGACCTAATAACCTAAAGTTCAATAAAAGTCATTAACTAGCCATTAATTGTATAATATTCCTATTGAAATTAAGAAGTTTTCACATATTACCTTTTAAGTTTTTTATCGTACAAGAATTTTATGAAAAATATCACTTTGACCTTGACCTCAAAGCCTATAAGTCTTTGCAAGTTATTGACTGGAAAAGGATAACATGATGTAGGTATGATTATGAATTTACACCCATAATACATCATTTAGATTCTTCTTTTTTAATTTTGCACTAATATTCAGTATTCCTACTTTCCATAATTTTACTCATACAATCTGTTAAATATACAAAATGATCACAATCTTAAATTTATAACTCCATTTTTTCCCCACAAGTATATGTATCTGTTAATCTTAGAAAATATTCATTCTAAAACTCTAAAACAAATTCATCATCAAGGCTTTATTTAAAATAGGGGTGGGGGTGGGTGGGGTAAGGGAGTCACATACATTATATATATATGGTGTATATAAATACATATCATTTTAATTGGACAATATTCAAAAATAGATCACAAAAGCTGGAACCAGAAACAATTAAGCAGGAATTTACAGTCTCTAATACCCTATGTCCCTGCCTCTCTGAGGTAAACCAACGGGCAGCTGCATATAACCTATGTAAACTGTCTAAAAAAATAAACTACTACAAAAAACAAGAGCACCACATGGAGCATTATCGCTCGTCTGTTAAGGGCAACAACTATTAATAACCAAAATATCTATGTCAAAAGGGCCATAACTCCAAAACTATAAATTCCAGAATAATGTCTTTTGTCTTACAACTGTTTCTAGTCATGATAAGCAAGGGTTCCAAGTTTCATGTTGATACCTTTTAAATTGTCTGAATAATGGGTGTCATAAAAGTTTTGGCATGACGACAAAGTGATCATAATATCTTGACATTTTCTTTGGAACAGACAAGCTAAAAATAAGTTTCTTTTGAAAAGGGCCATATTTTTTCCAAAATTTAGACAGCTATGAATTTAATGATTTGTTTTTTATTATTATTATTATTATCATACCTAATTCTTTTTTATTTTTTTAATTTCTTTATTAACATCCTCTTAATTCTGTACACTGATCAAGAAATGAAACCTAAACATTTGGTCATGTCGCATGTTACGCAAGTGTCAATAAGCACTTGAGAGTTGAACTTTTATAAGATTCAAGAATCTATTGAAATTGATATAGAAAGAAATGAGTATCCACAATATGAAATGTAAGTGTGAAATAAAAATGAGAGTAAAAATGTGCTATAACTAAACATGCATTAAGTTTATATAATAAAATAAGTGTTATATGGCCCATTTTAATATCATCCATATGGAAAACCCAAAATGATATTCATTTTTCATAAAAATGGTTGTAATATATATTTATCAAAAAAACAACATTATTAACTGCATATAGAATTTGGTTAAAATTGTGATAACACTGGTTAAGTGGGTGGGGTACGTTATAAACATGCTGGTTAAATGTGTCTTTTTTTTTATTAAAAAAGAGTTTGCCATGCTTATTTTAACACTGCCATGCAAACAAAACAACAAACCTCCGCTCTCTGTTAGTATAGCGCAGCATAAAGAACATAAAATGTGTTAATTGTCTCGTAAACAAATAAATCGGCACACACCAATCGTCGTGTTAGTTCTGTGAGTTTTGAGTATATATGGGGAGATTTTTTCAAAGTGCTCGTATAAACTAAAATAACATTGCTGTAAAGTTTTAAGGTAGGAGTGCTATATGTTCTGAATCATTCAACATGATTTTGATTCTGTACACCTGTTTACTAGAATTTTTAAAAATGAAAAATTTCTAATGGAAAAACTTCAAACTCAAAATAAAAATTTTAATGTTTTTCTTTCCTTTTTTTCACAACCGGACCACCTACTTAAATAGAAAACTCCATTTCCCCTTATTGGGATGAAATGAGCCAAGCAGTCCTAGTATAAGGGGAACAACTGTGCCAAGATTATTATTTTTAAAAATAATCTTGACTTAGTTGCCCCCCTTACACAAAGACTATCCTTTTGTACTCTGCCCATTTAAAACAGGAAAGTTCCTTTAAAAATCTAATGAAACTAAAATTATTCTTCATGTTTTTAAAATCCTTTTTTTGCAGTTTAAATTATCCGATCAACCAAAGCTGAAGCAGCAGATAGCAAATTTTATTCAAAAGTTTTTTTTTAGAAAATCCATACCCTAAGAAAACTGATTTATAAACAGTAAGCTTATAGTATAGAAACTAGAAAGAATATTTGGTAGAGTAAAAAGCTTTAAAATTCAAAAGATGAATATTAAACCAACATTCTCCAAAAAAAAATTAAAGAAATAAAAATAAAATTAAAAGTAAACTTAATTAAAATATAAAGTTTTTAGACAAAATCTTAAATGCAGAAAGAACATTCAATTTAAAAAAATCACAATTTCTTTTCACGGATAGCTTTCTGAAATGACTAAGAAATCGGTTTGTGGTTAGTGTGTATTTTATATGAACCAGTTGAACTTCTACTTACATTGACCTCAGTATATATGATATCAATAAAACTTCCCAGGACAATGATGAAATCAAAAACGTTCCATGGATCACCAAAGTAGTTCTGAAAGATATAAAAACATTCATTCCAGATTTCATTCATATGGATAGGCATGTTATAAATCACATCACAACAACTGTTTAATTTGGTTTTTAAGCCGATTATAACACATTTTAGGTAATATCTAAGCATTCAGTCCAACTGAGGGATTCAACTAGATAATTAACCAATAATTACGGATTTTTCCGCAAATGAACAAATACAAATCCGTCATAGTTTCTGAAACAGCAGTGATTGACAAATGACCATAAGACTCAATGTCCGAGATCAATTATTGCAGAGAAATTTTGCCTCGTTCCGAGGATCGAAATCCCTGGGCTACATATCTGATACTCTCCCTATTGAACTAAACGGGCAGACTCAAATCACAATACAATAATGGTCATATATTACTAGACTCTGAACTAGGGACATTGCAATTTTAGATTTTTATTTATCGCATACCTGTACTGCTTTAGCGACTTGTAAAAAACGGTATTGCACAGTCATGCATTTATTTTGATGCGACGTCATTTGTGTTATACAATCATAGCATAAAGAGGCCAGCAGCAGACATTTTCACAAAAAATCTTACGATTTATCTTAAGTTTTTCACTTACGATAATCGTAAGTTAAATCTTAAGTCATTTTCACAAAGCCACTCGTAAGTTAAAATTTTATCTGAAGATAAAAAATTCACTTACGATAAATCTTACGACAAAAACATCCCTAGCAACGTTCATTTGATAGTGATGTGCATGCTCTATATTTGATTCCGGTTTTAAAATCAAGTAATCAAGAGCTTGAAATATCTATTGAACACAATCAAATTTCAATAAGAACAAAAAAAAATGATTCAAACTGATATAATTTATATCTTGATTGAAGATAATTATATATATCTAAAAGATTCAGAAAGAAGGTCTACTATGTTATTAATAAATAAAAAGGTACCACTAGTACATGCTGGCAATGAAATCGAACTCACCAATTGTACAAATTATAAGTTTTCAATAATACTAGTCTACAGTATAGTTCACATTATTTTAAACTATTCATAACCCTCTCCATCGTGACGTCATCAAGTCATGACGTCACAAATGTATATGTTGAAAAATAATTATACCTCAATTTGTGTTATTTATAGCATACTGTTTGCTTAATATTTAGTTGTCCTCCAACTTTTTGTTTGTTTTTATTCAGTTTAGGTAAGAGATACATGATATTTTACCCTTAAGAGAGAAAAAATACACTTACGAACGGGGAAGACCTATCGTAAAGTTACGACAGATTTTGCACTTAAGATTTTCTTAAGATTTTTTGTGAAAAGGAGATTTATCGTAAGATTTCTCTTACGATAAAAAATTGTCGTAAGATTTTTTGTGAAAATGTCTGCAGAGGTCTATAATACAATTTAATTTAACTCTTTCAAAAGATGATAAAAGCTCGCATTATATAATTTATACAACTCATTCAATAAATTCAGTAATGAAACTACACCCATTTGATATCCTCCATATATTACATTCATCAAAATCCCTTACATCTACAATGGACTGGTCTATATTCAAATGAGGACAAGTTCATTACACAAAACACAAAACATAGCAATGTAAAGGTTACAAGCTTCTAAGTTTAATTACAGTTTAACCGATAAGTCTGGAAGCTGGACAACTTACCTTAAACCTAAAAGCTGTAAGTTTGAGGATGAATTCCACCGTGAACACACCAGTAAAGAACATGTTCATGTAATCTAGAGCCTCTGAATATGTGTCTGACTGGCCGTAATACTGGAATACAAAAAAAATCTCACATCATGTAAGAGTATGTTCCAATCAAAGCTGCGAAATATCCGGATACAAAGAGCACAGTTTTGCTTTTTCGAAGATTTTTTCTTTTTTAGGCACAATACTGGAATGCAAGTAGTTCCCATACATAAAACAATTACCGTACAAATAAAAAATTTTTTAAAATGCTTGCTCACTGAAAGTTTATTGTTATACATATTCAGCTTGTCAGATAAAAAAAAACAGGCACTGCATAAATCTGCAGTTTTTTCTCTCTTACTTTCTGGCAATACCATATCATTTGATATAAACAAGTCATACATAAGTAGGCCATTTCATAAAAGAGAAATGTTCAACAGGCACTCTTTAGTACACTTTCCTAGATTTGTTTAATATTATATTCTATTTTATCAAAAATCACCTAACATCAATAGAAAAAAGAGTATTTACCTTCATAGCAAGAGCTATAGTGTTGACCATAATTAGAGCAAAGATACCATACTCAAACGCCTGTGAGGTCACAAACCACCATATCTTATACTGCCACCTTGCCTTCGGTATATATCTACGTACAGGCCGCGCCTTTAGTGCAAACTCTATACATTTTCTCTGAAAGTGAAAAACCATGCGACAAGTGTTAAAGTAATTTGTTTTTGCATATTTTTCTGTTATCATTTAAATCTTGAAAGCAATATTACAAGAAGAAAACATTTGAATTTCTAGATTTAAGATTTACAAACCTCCAGATCAGGAAACTAAGTTTGAAACTAGATAACACGAATGCCCCTCCCTACATTTCACTATTTTCTCAAACTTTCAATGAACAGCGTGACAGTCGGACTGTTACAGGCAAATATTTATGCTCTCCCACCCCCGAAAAATCTATCTTTCAAAACATTCTTACTACAGTTTTGTTTGTTAATAAAACAAAAATCTTACTTGATTTTTATCTAGTTCACAGTTTTTATATTCCTGTTCTCCTTCATTCTGGAAGGTGACGATGACAAAACCTACGAAGATGTTCACCATAAAGAAAGCTATGACAATAATGAAAATGAAGTAAAAGATTGCGACAGGTTGGCGAGCGTTATAAATAGGGCCTTTACTCTCCTCGTTGGAATCTATGGAAATGTAAAGTAACCTGAAAGTAAAACAAAACATATGCTTTGATCAAGTTACACTTTTATACTCTATGTTAATGTTACTTGTGGTCTACAATTTATGATACAAAAGAAAAGAAAAATAATTCTTGTTTAATTGAAATAAATTTGAGTATTTGTGTTTTTTTTAGCTAATTACTGGAACTCTTTTCTAAGATGGAACATAATTAAAATAAGATATAAGCTATAATTCTACCAAACTTAAAACATGATAAAAAGAGAATAAAGCAGGATAAATTGAACAATATGGCTGTTGTCGGGATGGAGAAGGTTTATCCGGTTTGCTGGGCTTGCCAAAATACACTTTCCCGCTCACCGGATAAACCTTCTCCATCCTAACATCAACCATATATTCTTCTTATGAAAATAGAGTACAAAACCAAACCTATAAAAAAACACAAGTCCAATTATGACTGAAATTCTCTTCTAAAAAATTGACACCCTAGTCATATAACACAGAGAAAAAAAACCATAATTTTATATACAATATCCTTACAATGGCCATCCTTCAAAAGTTGAGACAGTGAATAGAGTCATCATGGCTTGAGACACATCATCAAAATTAAGTGGATTATTCTCCCATTTTCTCTCCTCCATTACTGGTGAAGAGATATCTCCGTCCGGGTAGTCCACGTAATTTCCTCTGAAATAAGCAAGTTCGATGAGTTAATATCCCACCTCTAATTATTCAAAACACATATTAAACTTTTTTAAAAACTCATTTTATTTACAAAATATATGTAATTTCGGATGTACCACATTTAGTTGTTATCTAACTTTGTTCTTAACATGAAAATATCAAATGATGTTGGAGAAAAGCTCATTTTGATAATAAAATGGGGGAACATTGTGTCAACAAGATCCGTAGACTAATACACCTATAGATTTTTACAGATCAACCCAAACATAACCTTTAACACTGTATGGCAACTATGGAAATTCTTTATACACTACACTTCATTTATTTGTAACAATTGCTGCGTTAAACACTCAAACTTCAATCAGACCTACTATAACCAACAAACCTACAAAATGACGAATCTTCCTCTATTCCACATCAAACAACATTTGAGCCGGGTCACATAGTGGGTTTGCGACCACCATGGATCCAGACAGCCTGCGCATCCACGCAGTCTGATCAGGATCCATGCTGTGCGCAGGGTGGTCTGGATCAATGCTGGTCACAAACACATTACGTTGGTTTTGTCGTGACGCAGCTCATATATCAACTACATGTATTATGAAATTTTCAAAGACTTTATTAAAGTGAGCACAAGGGCTTATTCTTACTTGCATTCGTCGATCGTGCGTTTTGACGTATCTGAACATGACCAGAATGTTCCTTTGAACAGCTGCACACCGATTACCGCGAACATGAACTGTAGTAGGAACATGACCAACATGATGTTGTAAATGGTACGTATAGCTACAATCACACATTGTACCACATGCTGCAAATATACACATATATATAAATTATGAGTAAGAGAACATTTGGCAAATACTGTACATGTTATACTCCTAGTATAATACAAGGATAAGATTGCTTAACCCTTACGTTGCTGGAAACATAACTGATTAGTCTGCCACTATTTTAGAGCCATGTCTGCCTGCACAATCATACAGTCTGACAAGACACTAAACTGTTTGACTAAATAACTTCCAATTTTCATCTTGATATCCCAAAAATTGAAAATGACCAAAAATTAAAGTTAAAATGAAAATTGAATTCCATAAAAATCTCAAAGGTTTTCACTCTGACTTAGGTAGTAATAAGGGGTAGTGGTTGCACAGTGACATCATTTTGATAAATCAAATTCTAAAATATTGCTGCCTAATTAGTTAGTTTCTACTAATTCATTTTTTTACTAGTTAGATAGTTAGATAGTGTTAGAAGCTATAACCTTAAAATCCATTCCTAGAACCAACTAGTACGAAATAATGAGTGTAAAGTTACTTGCTCATGGAAACAACTGCTTGCACCCCGACATGTATTGAACCCACACAGTCAAAGCTGGATCTCTAAATCTCTCAAACTTACTAATAACTTTTAAATATTCCCCTTTCTCATGCTTGGCCTCTTAAATTACTGTAAAGGATTTCCACTGTTTGAATGTGGTATTTTGAAATTTAAAATTCCATTAACATCTTATTGACTGTTCCAAATTTCAACTTTCAAAACAGAGCAAGTCCATTCTATAAATTCAGCAGATTCTTTCTGAAAGGTTGACAAAAATAAACAATAAGAACAAAACTTACCTTGAGACCTTTAGCTCTGTTAATGGCTCGAAGAGGTCGGAGCACACGCAACACCCTAAGAATCTTCACTACCGAGATAGCTTCGTTACTGAAATCACGCATGTTGATCATATAATTCAAACATCTTATTTACTAATTCTATTCCTAAACAAATTTATAAGATAAACATAACATATAACATAGAAATGAAAAAAGTATTCAAGGCATTTTGCAAATAGGAATAAAAAGAATTTGTTAGTGTTAATAAAAGCATTACCAAACATATTACACATACATCATTCCTCTTGAATAAATGGTGGATTTATTTGCACACTGATTTCAAAGCAGAATGTTTATTTCATCCAAGTGGTTCATATCTATAAGAGTTATAGCCCTTTTATTTTCTAAAATTCTACAAAGAAGTTCTCAGAGAATATGTGAGAGGCATAGCAAAAAGGGTTTTTAAGGATTTCAGAGTCTCAAATTTTTCTTTTTTTATCCTACAAGATTAATCTCCTAAACGATTCAGTTAGGATTTTAATGCAATCTTCTACAAGACTCAGATTTAAAATATCAATCCAATCACCTACAACATTCAGATGGAATATATCCATTCCATCCTTCTACAAGATTCAGATTTTCATTCCTACAAGATTCATACTTAAGGATTTCAATGCAATTTTTTTCACAATTCAGATTTGGGATTTCAATGCACATCCAATCTTCTTCAAGATTTAGATTTAGGATTTTATTGCAAATTTAATCTTCTTGAAGATTCATATTTGGGATTTCAATCAAAATCATAACATATGAATGGATTAGTGTACAGAATGTGGCTACAATTTATCAAACCAGTGCAGCTTAGTGTTCCAGGGGTACAATACAAAAGGGTGAGGGTTACGCTCCAAGGTCAATAAAATGACCAATGAAGAAAATGCCAATATCTATTTGAAAGGGGAACATATGAACAAGGTAGGGAGTGTGTTCAGTATATAATATGCATTTGAATCTTATCTTTCTATACAGCACTGACCTGTCAAACATGTCACAAAATTTATTACATCTTGTGAAGATTACATATATATATAAATTTGTGAACGAAATATTACAATTTTTTTAATACAAGTGACACAAGAATGATGAATAACATAGATGTATTGTGATGTTGATGATTTCAGAGTGAAATATTTATTTACTACATTTCGGTGGTTCGTAAAATATTTGGTGATTACGACGTGTCCCAATATAGTGATTATTATTGTTTTGGGGTTGTTGTTGTTTTGCACATGCTAACTCAACCTGTCGCATTCAGGTAACACGATCTGGAGCACTCCGCAAGACACGGTGCCAGGACCAGTTTCATTAGCATGTTGAGAAGACCGCAAGCTTTCCTGGTGCACATATGCTAACCAGGAGATAACGCTCCTGTAAGAATGATGGGCAAAGAAAAAACATCAAATATAAACAAATTTATATACAATCATAAACAATTCAAAGTAATAGAGAATAAAATGTGTCATAAGAAAATATATGAATTATCAGAAAAAAAGTGAAATGGAAAAGTGAATGAGTGTAGAGACAAAAGAAAAAAAAATGTTCATAGATAAATTTTGTGAATGAAGAAGTTAAAGGATAGTAATTGTGCAATATAGATAGAATTTACAGTTGTGCTTATAAACGTATGGCTTGTTTTTGTGAAGCAATAATCAATAATAATTTAAGTTCTTAAAAATCTTTGGTAAACAATTATGATAACAAACAATTGTTCCACAAACATTTCCTTAATCAAGTCATTTATGTCTATGAAAAGTATTTCCTCAATCAAAGACCACAAACATTTTCAGGACTACAAACATTTCCTTAGTCTAAGACCACAAACATTTCCTAAATCAAGTGATTTATGTTTAAGACCACAAACATTTCCTTAATCAAGTGATTTAGGCCACACACATTTTTTTAATCAAATGATTTATGTCTAGGACCACAAACATTTCCTTAATCAAGTGATGTATGTCTAGGACCACAAACATTTCCTAAATCAAGTGATTCATGTCTAGGACCACAAATATTCAATTTTATTATATCTACAATGAACATTCCTTTCATCTTGTGTCAACTTATATCTACCCGGTAGAAATGTAGTTCAAAAAACATATGTTGAATCAAGTATTTTGTTTATGTCTAGGACTCCTTTTACATTTTGCAATATTTCCAAGGTCCAACAAAAACCGTTTGTATCTGAAGTTGGCAATTCAATACTTGAGTATCATTTGTTTTGTAAGTATTGTCTTTCATGCTACATAATTACACTGTTAACAGGATATTGCATCTGCTGCACTGTGTAAGACAAAAATTCTTGTTTAAATTTCCATGGTAATGAGAATCTCTGTTTATATAAAACTTAGCCAATATTCACTGCATTGTTTCTGGGTTCACTAGCTTGTATAGACTAAATATCCCATAATTCTGCAGGCATGATCTATCTTACTTATGTCAGTTTATTATATATTTATATACTTGTATGAAATACATGTATAGAGAAATATTGATGAAAAAAAATGCATATCTTCTTTTTCCATATTTTCACTGTAAAAATATATATTTATATTTCACTCATGATTACCACCACTTGTGAAATATTTATTTTCATACCACTTGATGAAAATAACTCGTATATTAATAGAAAAAACTTGAATATCCTCTATATATCACTATAAAATTTCTGCAAAGTGAGAACCACTGACAGCCGTCTAATGCATCAAAAATGACAATAAAGTAGACTTGGATTCAATCGAGCCTGTTCATTGATGAAAGTCGTCAACATCCTCTAGTGTCAGCGGAATTCAAAATTATATAATACATAAAATTATATGGTATAAATAAGAGTTAAGAATCATACACAGATATGTGTTCATAAAGCGAAGTCCATAATAATGATTTTTTTTTCCTGAAATATCTATATATGTATTATACAATGTACAATCATGTATCTAAGAAAAGAAAAGACAAAAATAATATTCATACAGTATCAATGACACACCTATTCAATTATGTATAAACAAAAAAAATAATAATAGTTACATAAATAATATTCTTCAATTTTATAAAATAATACACTTTTCATGGAAAATGGCGTTGGGGGGTGGGGGGAATGTTATATCATTGTTTCTAACTATTATTTCAGGCAACAAGTGAGCACCTTGTGTAGGTCTGCCATGGACCTGTGTAGGACTGACATGGACCAATGAGTTTAAATGTCATGAACCTTTCACAAATCCTGCAGTACCTGTTTTCATGTTTCTTCTAAAGCAACGGTTCACCATAACAGATGCTGTTGTCATAGCAACAGCGTTGGAGAGGGTTTTTCCTTTTAACAAACTTTATAAGATTGCAGTCAAATTTATACAAAAAAATAATTTTCATTAAAAAAAAAATTGTGATCATTGTTTAACAGGATTTTTCCTATTTATTACCCCTAGATTTCTTTTACTTTAAGACAGGAATAGGAAGGTGATGAGAAACCTGGGGCCATTAATTTCATTTCAATTTGCCTTTCTACTGTATTAACTATGTTGTTCTCTGTACTTCTTCAAAACTAAGACAACAGTTAGAGGAAAATCATAGGCCTAAATACAACAATATCATTTTAACAAACTAATTACATAATCATTTTCTTTCTACATCTATATTGGTTAAAATATTTCATATATAAGATGATGATTAAAATATCATCTTGTTTAATTTTTAATTTTTTTTATCTATATTATAAATTTTTCAACCCTTTGTAACAGTAATTATTTCATCAGTAATTTTCAAAACTTAACTTATATCAAATTATCTACACATGCAAAAATCATGAGAAAAAAAAACAATTTTTTTTTTATCTAGAACATATCTATATACTGAAGTTGTCAATTTCAACTGTTTTAGTTATATAACTGTTGTTAGTCATGTGACAACAATTCTGTTATAACTCCGCCTTCGGTTATTACATTTCTATTTTTAGACCTAAAAACGTGAGCACAAAATTTCAACAAACAACAATAAGGGACTGAGCTAATTTCACGACAACAGAAAATCTGACATAAACTTTGACATAAACCGTCCTAATGTATCAATAAGTGACCTAGAAATGATAAGGGGGAGGGACGGGGGGTTAGTACTAAAGCATTCCGTGCTTCTCAAGTACCCTTCTCATCCTCTCCTATCTCACCCGTAACGAAGCAAGGTTATCGCAAAAAATAAATTGAAGCAAAAAGACATTTATACTGTCAACACAATTTCCTTGTTATACAACACTACAATTTGTTAATTAGGGTAGCGAAATACGGTAACGGATCATGCCTTTTGAAAAGAAAAAAAAAAGATGGAACAAACTAAAATACCCTGTAAAATCACATTTTAAAACAGAAAAAAACATAACACGTCACATACCGGTAAACCTTTTCCACATACTGATTTTTCTGATAGCTTTTTGTAAAATGTAATGGCAAAGAAAACACTTTATATCAATCTACAGTGTCAGCAAATAGAAACTTTTGTTACTTTTTAACAGGCAGAAGAAAAAAATAATACACATGTATGTTTAAATGTAAAAATATTCACGTTAAGGACCCGATAAAAGAAAAAAATCCTTTGCCTTGGAAAAAATAATTTAACATTTTTACAGACTTGTTCGTTGTAAGCCTAGTTTAACTATGCCTCAAAGAAAAACATGGGTTTAACAAGCAAAAAGGAAGGGCACTTGCCTATGTTAAGAGAAAAGTTTTTATTATCAATTAGTGTACATTCTAATCTAAATTTTTAGAACATTTCACAAGCATGGTGAAGAATGGATCCAGGGTTTAAGGTCATAATTAACAGGGTCAGCAATAGGGTTGGCTGAAGCTAAAAAATAAACATGTGAAAAAAGCTTAATAATACATTATCTCATAATATTACTTAAATAACGAACTCTGGACCAATCCAAATGTAACTTTTATTCTTCACAGAATTTTCTTGCTTTAAATCCACCTCATTTGATACCACTGGAACCACTCCCACCTTATCAGCCATCTAATTAATGCCGTACTACAAGTAAGTACTTCTGTTGTTTTTTTTTTTAAAAAA